TTCATTATGTTCCTACTAGGAGCGTCTGCCGTGTAATCCGAGGGCGTGGGTTCGAGCCTGCGTAGGGACCAGGCGACCCTCGCAGTATTCTTATCCCACCTGCGATTGGTGGCCGTTGTGCGACAGCAAAGCGTCAGTACTGCGCGCCGACCTATTGTTGATGCCTTTTCAAGAGCGCCGGCGGTGTGTTGAAGCCGCGTCTGATTGGATATGTTTGATTATGTCAAAAAAGTCGATGGATGTCGAAGGTCTGGAGAAAGCCAACCAACCTTGTAACGGAAGACTAATGTCACTATTCACACGGAGCGCGAACCAATGAAGAGCGCTGGCGAATAAGATTGCACGGACGGTGATTCGAATCTCGGACCCACTGACTTTGGCTTTGAGTGGAATGTTTCGCGGTGCAGTGTAGTCTGTCAGCTGTATGGCCATGGCTTATTGCATCACATGTTTCCTCTTGATACGTCACTTACACAGCCACCATCGTTGAAACCTGTCACGATTTGCTACTTCTGATGCGAAACAGAACACCAATCTGACGATATACCTACATCTATGAAAAATGATGCTAACATACTTGAGATTGGCATGTTGCATCATACAACTCTGAGGAACCGGTGGATTGGCGGTTTTTTGATTGTCAGCACATCTTCAGATAAGCTATGAATTCTCGATATACATCGGCAAGCTGAATTTATTTACGTTACCTCACATGCGCCTTACCACTGTTATTCGCTTGATCCTCAAAAATTATTATCATCGGAAGCCAAGTCAGCTCGCACGCCGATGTCGATTTCAGTAACTATCTCTTTGAGCTCCACCAATTGCTTTGGTAGCTTCCTCTTTGCAGGCAATGGACTATGCTGATCCTCGCTCAAGTGAAGACTGCCTTTGGGTTAGCTCTTCTTACCTACTTTAATTTCTACCTCTCTTTGCAAATATCTCAGGGAAATCGCTTACTATTCTGAACTATCAACCGCAACTCCCAAGTTCAGTTGAGTGTCTGTGAGTGTCTGTTTCCCAAATTCACATGGCGGAACTGATTGTGATCGACTTAACATACCGATCCAGAGCACTAAATACTTCCGTCCAGCTCAAATGACTGACGTGCTGTTGTTGTTGTTCAAGGTAGTGATTTTGCTTGTAAATTTCGATTTGTGCAAATAGTGCAAATAGTGCTGGTGCAATACTAGATTAACGTCATTACTTCTTACAAATTCCTAACATTCATCCGAATTCGCTGCTTTGTTTAATGATGTAGTCAGCTGTTCTCGTTTTTAGCGACGTCACTACTGCGAAAATGAATCTGGTGTAATTTTCGAAGCCCTTATCTATCAAGCCGGTTTGGTTGATTACCGACGCTGCAGTGCGGCCGATTTTAGTGTGCGAATTCTCGATGAAGTCACGACTTTTTGGTCATTAGAAGTCTATGTTGTTTTTGGGCACTACTTTCGTAGTTTTGCTTATGTGACATGACCACCAGCGAGGTTTTACTGACATCCACCAGTCACTGTCTGAAAACTGCTTTCCTGGTGCAACAGACTATATTTGCTGCTGGAACCGTGACTTATGTGGCATTTTGGATGGGGATTTGACTATCAGGAACTGAATATTGTATTTTTAGAGCAATAATAGCTTTAAACGTATGCAGCTACTTCGAGATATAATTAAAATATCGCAAAAACATGTCACCTGCTCTTACTCTCATCGTTTTCGAGGTTCTTATGTATACTTTAATACGTCTGGCTCACAGCATCACAGGCCTCATGAATGTAAGTTATTATTGTCAGCGTGCAATCCTTCTTTGAGTCGAATAGTGGTGAAATGTAAATCTCACAAAGTTTGCTCTGTTGCACAGTTTATACCTCTACAACTTGCTGTCAGGCGTTTCCAATCATGCGGTTGGAAACTCGCTTCATCTCCGGCATCACAGAATTCTACCGGTGTCCTCATGTGCTGCATCGCGTTCACAGGTGAAATCGCGCCTTCAACATAGTGAAGTCACCGAGATGTAGTATGCCATGCGTCGCGATGCGATCGATTCGCAACTGTTGCTAGCCTATCAAACACGACTCATTTGCGAAGTAGGCATCTTAATGTTTTGTCCGATAATCATTCTCGCTTTCCCTTGAATTTCCTCCTCTTTTTTTCCTGACTTATTTGTCTTACTGGCGTTGCGACACTTCATTGCTATGATCATTGCTGATCAACTGAACAAAACTGAGTGAAATCAACGTGTTTTTACACCAAACGGCTATACTCTTCCGATGGGCATATCGACAAGAAAGGCGGTTCTTTTTGGCCCTTCTGTAGTCTGCTTGTCGACGTGTTTACTTTTTACCTCTACGAAGCGTCTAATAATCCTTTTTGCGTCAAAAGTGAAATCTTGCCCAACGACTGCTTTATCCAGTAGTTCCTAAACCTCACTGAACTCGCGTCGCAAACCATCCACACAACGTGTACTTCAAACTGACTCTCAATATCGTTCATTAAACGGTTGTGCCAAGTGTTGCCTGTCGTGACCCAGTGGCTTAGAAGTAGTGGTCACAACTAACATCCCAATGGTCCCGGGTTCGATGCCTGTTAACTATCTGATGAGAGGTAATAACATTGAAACACGTCATAGTAGTGCAGTGTTTTCGGACGGGCAACATCCACTTTCTGTTTGCATCAGCTACGGTCCTCGTGATCAAAAGACCAAGGTTGACTTCATTTGGAATCGCGGTCAACACTGAAATTGCGCTTCGCAATCCATCCACAGAACGTGTACTTCAAAATGACCCACAACATCTCTCTGAACTCGTTTAACAAACTACTTTTGCTGACTCCACCCACCTTCATTATTTGTCTAGATAGTGTCTATTGGCCCTGTGTCGTTAGCTTCTTTGTTTCTCCACAAAAGTGTTGAACTCAGCGAATCTAATCCGGGGCTCTTTCTTGCCATCCCTGAGCATGCCGATGATGGCCCCTGTTTCACTATGATCAAGCACCAATCGTAAAACCATTAGTACAAGACCTATTCATCGACCCTAGATTTATCTGGATGACGCAGTACTTGTCATCCCGCCGAATCACTATAACACTATATCCGCTGTTTAGTGCTTCGCTACTGACACATTCACTGTTTTCCCTCCCACTATTCAGGTTGGTCACAATGAGGATGGTGGTACAGGAATCCTACCTCGTCCTCTTGTCTTAGCTGTTGGCAGTGAGTCCCGTGGTCTTTCTCCAGAAGTGCTTGAGGCTTGCGACTTGCTGGTACGCGTTGTCGGATTTCAAGATTGCCTCCAGCCTTCCACTTGCAGTATTTCCTCAATTCCCTCCTCTCTAAATGTTGCAGTAGCTACTGGTTTGCTTCTGTACCAATTGACTCTGTTGCGTCATCATTCTGGTTGCACACAAACCTCCTGTTCTGATCCCTTTCACTCACTTTTTGACGTGGATTTGTCCACTTCTCAATCTGAAGAAAGGCATACAAATTTCGTTCAAGACTGAACTTGTTTGGATTCTTATGTACATACTGACTGTTGTAAAATACATAATCATCAACTTTTGACGCCTTTGTTTTGATAGTGGTTTCAGTGGCTTCCTATTAGCCGGTTGATCCTTAAGATGTAAATTCACTGAACCGTCATCTGAATCTGAACCACGTTATGTTCTTACCACGCCTGTGGACCGCCTGTCGTTGCGTGTGACCTTTGCCGTCACCGCAGTTGTTGAAGTTGTGTCCCACTTTAGTCGGCAGCATGTTGAAATGCGACTTGAAATAACTGCAGAACTGAACCGCATCGGTGATTTTTACAACTCGGTTGCCTCACATTAATTCACTTTCTATATAAGGTCCAACCGCTGACTACTGCTACCAAGTATTGACGAAAAAACGGAGTGACTCCGGGATGAAGATTTATGGACCAAGAATGCAACAATTCATGTACTGACTAGCAACATACTATCAGTAATACGCGACACTGCTTAGTAAATACACTTGCTTATCGGCTGTTGCAGCTATGCAATTAATCGAACCATAGCACAACATGCGTATGATATATTCACGGTTCAAATACAGTATAAACGTGCTGGTCAACATACCATACTGATCATTAAACTTCACAGTGGGACAATAATTCTAATTAGCACTTTGGATATCGGACCGGGGCATCGCCATGCTACTGTGAGTGCCATCATGTTTATGGAGCCTGTGGATTGGTAGCAGTAATCACTGCTGGTTATTTCTGACTGGTTCATGGTCTCTTGTTCTCATCTCATCTATTTCGATTATGTTCTGGTCTACTTTTGGTATTTTTTGTTTTACTTCTTATATTTTATCATCGTGATACAGGACGCAAAAAAGATAACTCAATCCACCACACATCGCTTGCATAGCTATAGTGCAACTGAATTTGGAACCTCCTTATTCCCAGATAATCGCCAACCGCCGCCTTTAAGTTGTATATTACTTTATTGCTCTAGTTATAGACTTGCAGCTTGTGGACTTACCTCTTTCGTATATTTAAGAACTTGAAAACCTTTCCAAATGGTCGAATTAAAGGACATTTGAAAATTTAAGAATTTTATACCGAATCTTACGGCAATTAGTTCCGCCACTTTTTGCACCAAATATTCTTTGTACATTTTTGATGTGTTGTAAAGCTGCCTTCGTACTGCTGCTATTCTGCGCCTGCCAGACTACGACCGCCTGATTGCTCAGTCACACGCCCAACCAACCGAGGGGATACAGAAAGGCCAAGGCTCGGTAAACAGGGAGTCTATTCTACACAATAGGTCAGTTCTGTTTATTGGTGAACGAAACATACTAATTTTGGGAGCGTTTGGCTCTCAGCCAATATGAGTTAATTCCGTCCCACGGATTTCCCATATTTGCAGAATGGTTCGCCTCCGTTGACTCGGGCTTGTATTTGCTGGCCAATAAGTTTGCACCCGGTTCCCAAATTTTGCAAAACAGTCGAAGGTCATTCCACACTCGTGCTGGTGACCTTCGTATGCAACAGACAGCTCACGTGCTCCGCGGTAAGCTTGTGCGCGATCTCCTATCTGGACATTGGCTTCGCTTACCTCTCTATTAATCTCAACCCTAATTTTGTTGGTAAGAACTCAACAATGTGAATATGTGAGGTCAACCAGCATCAGGCGGTCATCGAGTGATGTAACCGGCTCCGACAGCAGAAAGTATCGACGTTGCTCTCTCCCGGCACTACATCCCACGACCGGTATTTCCTGATTTACCTCCTTCAGGTGGATATGGTCTGTGTGGAACCCGGCACCTACTAATTGACGGTTTACGCCTTTATCACAAACGCAGTGAGCTCCGCGAGCAGTGCCGGACTTAACAATCAACTTCGTGAGCGTTCGTCAGATACAATCGGGATCACACAGCTCACTCTCACAAAATGTGCCACCTCATGGCATCCCGGTCCTATGCGTTGGATCATGTTTGTCGCCCACAGCCTCATTAGATTGCCTACCACCACATTAATCAACGGGCATCTTCGGTTTCGTCCTCCTAGAGCCTCCGCCTGTTACTGAAGTCACACCCCCGCCAGTAAAAATCTGTTGCCTCTGCGGTTCCTTGCGGAGTGCCATTTACAATTTCACCTGGAAGCCGCCATCACTTCGTTTCATTGTGTCGAACATTTTCAAAACTAACCTTCCATCATGATCGTTGATAGGTATAGCTTGGTCTGCCACTCGTATTTGTTCTTTCCAGCTCGTTTTTCCTTCCTCTTCAACTATTTCTTTGCACGACATAAGCAGCAAGTAGCTCCCCACTCGACGAACTTATAGCACAATACACGCAACGAGATGGGCGGTTCCGGTTCCAACCTCTTCTCATTCTGACCTGTAAATTAGTCTCTAATGCCTTTCGAATCACAATTTTGTCAATCCGGGACCTTATGTACTTTGCATATATACTGCTTTATTTTAAGTGAGGAAATCCATAATAAAAATGTAATCAAACGGACCCACTTGGTATGTTAATGTCGGCTGCGGACTGTAAGGATTGCTCATTTACAATGTAATCCGGTGTTCACCGGTCCTACTCCTTATGGGTGCGGTATACACATCCCATATGCCATAGGTGGCTTTCGCATGACAGCGATGCACCGGTGCGGGGTACTACCTATGCTTTCCTCTCTTTCTCGGTACTACTACAAACCATCGCATGGTTGTGTTGATGCGCATTTGCTTTCCACAGAGAATTTGTGAAACAAGCTGTCCACAGCAGAAAAACAGGTTTTCTGGCTTCCAGCTCAGGTGAATTGCCTTTGGGCGTTGTTCATGGCCTCTGCCGTCACCGACATTCTGAGATGTGTAGTTGGGACAAGAACCAGAATTGGACCAAAACAAGTAATCGAATCGCTTCAAATGTGTCTGCATCAAGTCGTGTGATGACTGCTGTTTTTCCACTTATAAGATGCTGTCAGACCATTGATAAAGGTTTATTGTTTCATGCTTTTCCTCTTCATCCTTACTGTCCGCATCTGGCCATACTCCTTAGGGCATTTTCAGCATTTATTTTCCTGTTCACCAGACCTGTATCTTATCTGATCCGTTTTTGCATTACCGCATTTTCTCTTCCTTGCAGCTGTCAGTAAGCCAATGAGTGCTTCAATCAGATACTTTGAGAACGTGGACACTGACGAGCTCTTACCTCCCTCAGCTTTTCTGACATCCCATAGACCTCCCGGTACTATTCCAGTCCCGACCCAACTTACCGAGATTGGTGGATGTACTCGCTCCCCAGTACTCGATGGTGTAAGATCTGTTGCTCCTCCGGAGTCCACTCATGTTCGAGGGGCTGCTCTTCCTGTCAGGTTTGTTCCGTGCTTTTTAATAAATCACCTGCCGTGTTATACTTAAGCGATTCTAAAGCGCAGGATATTGTCTCAATTTATTAAACTTTTCATCTAATCCGTGCCTTTTTTCATTCGTTGTTCCTTTGAAATTCTGCTTTTGTATTTTTGCTTTTCCAATTCGTTTTCGTTTAATCGTCCTTGCTCATTCCCGTTCCCGTGATAACGTACTTAACGGCAGCTGTGTCTTGCCCGTAGCCTAAAGATAGTGAGCTTGTCTTGCAAGCTAAGGGCGCCGGTTCAAGGCTGCGTAGAGGCAGGGTGATCCTCGCAATATCCTTAGCCCACGTCCGACCGGTGGTGGTCGAGCGGCATCGAAGCGTCGGTACTGCGTACCGCCGTACTGCTGATGTTTCATTCTGCGTCCATTAGATCTTTTTGTTTTCTCACAGTTGAATCACGGAAGTGAACCACTTCGAATTGCTGAAAATGCTTCCACGCGGGAGTATAAACTTGTCTTGATTCGACTTGTCAGTATAACAATAGTGTGCTCCTCATTAGAGGAGTCGTTTTGAGGCACCCGTTGTGTGCAAATGAATTGCGACGTGCAGTCTCAATCTGAATAGCCATTGATATTGCATATACTTCGACCACAATGACCGTAGCGGTAGCAGTCAATTATTAGGTGTTTCGCGGTAACAAATACTGCACTCCACCGTGGGTTTCGTGCTTATTTGCACTCATCAAACTGGACTGCGTCTCGAACCCGCCGGGACCTCGATTTTACGAGACCGCGGACCAACGGTTCGGTAAGCCTCTACTTTCGCATTATATGCGTCTTGTGCATGGGGTCACTTGCGCATTACTAATGCAATATCGTAACTATCATAACTCTCGCATTTGCTGGACGACACGATGTTTAGCTTCCGCGTCCATTGTGAACAGGGCGGAATATTCAGCTATGAAATTAACACTATTTTGCAAACTCAAATCAACTAGTTCCTGTTGCTGAAGACTACCAAGTACACTTTGATAGATACGAATAGGGTGGAGGGAGAAATGCATATCATCTTTGAAACCTGTGACTTTGTTTTAAACAGGGCAGGTAGCTGGCTAAATTTCTAGTGCATCCACTTGCTGACGATGTAAAATAATGTTCACATCTCACACTTTAGAAGAGATTCGACGTGAAATTTCCGTGTCGAAACGAAACAAGGCTCCGGGACCCGACGACCTTCCTTCATATTAGCTGAAAGATGGCTGTGACTCTTAGTTGACTGGACTTGCGGCTGTATTCAGCATGATTTGGCACACTGAATTGATACCTTCAAACTGACGACTTCCAGCTGGCGTGTCCATCTTCAAGAAGAGTCAGCGCATTTTGTGCGAAAATCATTTACGCATTGGTCTTACCTCTATTGCGACAGAATTTCTCATAAGTATCATTCTTCGACAACTTACTAGTCCGCTTGTGAAGCGAATCGCTGTAAGCCAGGCTGGCTTCCGTCCTGGTCGTGGTTACTTCGATCACGTATTTACTCGTCGCCGAGTTTTAGACCAGAGTAACACTTACAGACGATCGACTGTAGTAGTTTTTCGGCTTGATAGATGCCTTTTCCTCCGTTTATCGTGCTAGTTTGTGGCACTGCTATCCATGAAGGGCGTGCCGGCTGAACTTCTTCGGATTCTTTATTCTTGCCCTGATTTAATAACATGATTTTTTTCAGTAAATTTGGTCAAACTCAGATCTTTGCATAGTGAATATTACATGGTAAATGTGCTTAGTTGGGATGAATATTGATTCGAATGTTAACTTTCTCAACCGAATAGGTAAATCACGATGTCACTGAAGGTGGTAGAGCAAGTACAAGGCAAAAGTATTTAGTCACATTATATTCACGACCAACCAAATTTACCAAGGGTACTAATAAAATTCAATGATAAAGTACCGAAAGATGTGGGACACGGGTAAAGCAACTGGCGCACGAATTGCTTCTGTATGCATAGCTCTCGCTTCAGATGACGTATGTAGATAGCTTCAGCAATAAATAGCAAATGTCTACGGAACCCTCACGAGCATCTCTCGGGAATGGAATAGATAATTCTGAAACCTTTTTCAAAGCCTGCTTGACCATACTCAAGGAGGTGCGCCATGATGGATCTGTTAGAGGGCTTTACTTCACCTCTGTAATACCACTTCGGGATGTGTTCGCAAATCCTATGAACTAGGCGTCTCGCAGTTCGACCCATATGTCATCCACCACAGGAGCATGATTATTGTTAAACAAGCATTGATCGAGTCAATGTAGGCAATCTATTCTCCAAAAGTTTTGCGAGTAAAGACTTGCTATTTTATGCTGTGCGCAACCGAACCGCGAAATAGGTCTTCTCAATAACGTCTTCTATGCATTTGGTCATGGCTTCAGCCACGCCTTTGAATAGTAAAAGCATAAAGCGTTCCTCCTTGGGTACGCTATTCCTCTGTGGTCTTCTATTAAGTTCTCTAAGATGTGTAAGGATAAATTTATCCGGACACCCATTTGCTCTTAGAGCGCCACACATCCCCGCAGTTTCTCGGTAACGATGTAAATGTCTGGTCTGCGGGAAGCTGTCTCCTGAGTTCCTCAGAACAAATGAGGTTCTTTAAGGTTTTCCTATATCTCCGTTCCTCTTCAACTTTTTGGTCGTAATGATTGTAAATGGCTGTTCCTTCAGACCACCGGAGTGGAAGTTCTGCCAGGTAATCGACTGACATACCTCAAGTATGTCAGTTGGCATCTTGCCTTGGGTCTGACGCAGTGGCTATGCAAACAATACTGGATTGGTTAGTGCTTAGCGTTGCACTCTCCTACATGTGCTTTGCACCTCCAAAGTGCAAATTGTTGTTGCAGGACTAAATCGATGCACCACTGACTTTAACCAAACCGAACAGCTTCTGGATGTGGTGGATTGGTTCACTTAACTTAGTAGCTGTGTCCTCTTTAGTTACGTCACTGAGGAGGTTATTCCGCATATCTGCGAGGCTCTTGTGTTTTTTCAGGTGCTCTACCATCTGTGGTGACGGCAGTATGTCACCCTGTTAGTAAAAGTTAAGGTGTACAACGCTGCTGTATGGATCACAGTGAGGATGTTAAACGCTTGTCCGTGTTTGGCCTCCAGTGATTGCTGAGTATTGCTCACATCTGGTGGAAACACCAAAGAGGAAATGCTGATGTCCGCTAGTTTGTTTTTGCTATGAAGCTCTATGGCGCCCACTCGATTGTTTGCTGATTCTTTACCACTTATCTTGGCTTGTTCATGTCCTACGTATGCCCGTTGACCGTTCTTCTCGGCATACGTTATACGCGCGTGGCTGCACCAAGTTGGACAAAACGAGATGACCAGTTCGTGACATGGCATCGAGTCATGAAACCATTGACTGCGAGACTGGATCCGGCTGGTACATGCCGTCTTCGTGGATGGGGTCCCCGGGATGGTCCACCTCACTGGTTGGAACCTCTGTCGGACATGGTGCAGTCGCGCAGGCAGTGGTGTTCTTACATCCGGTCTCTTTCATCTTGCTCCTAATTTTCACTTCGTCCTGCTTAGCGTAGCACACCTGCCTCTTGTTCTATTTTACATTCTATTTGAAATTAGCCTCTATCACTGTATGTTGTTATATCGACGACATGAGTCGTGGTTACTGCATCCACCGCACTTCGGTGCCCGGATGATAGTTGTTTACCTGAATCAAACTGTAGTGTAAACTAATCAGAAACTAAGATCGGATGAGACAGTGCATTCGATTTGCCTATTTTCTGTCTATAGAGACAAAAGGAAATAGGTGCGATCGAGCGCTTTCATTTAGCCGGAACGGTCGACTCTAGCTCAATCGACTTGCCGTATCCGTCTGGCTATTTGCGGGTACCGTTACCGATAATTAACGAGAGGGCACTTAAGTGACGAGACGGATGTTTATTGCATGGGGTACACAATTATCCAATGTATTGGCTAAAGTTGCGACACGGGCACGAGAATGATGTCCAGATACCGCAAGATGTGGTGCCGTTTGTGTGGTGTTCACGGGTAAGACAAACGAATACTGCATACATTTTAGCATTCTACATTGAACTCCCTCTGTGTATAATAAGGTGCTTCTAGTTAGTATTTTACACAGCCCACTCAGAAACACCGGGAATGTCTCTATACCGCTACCGTCAATTATAGCATAACTTGGAGAGTGAAGTTTAAACCAGGTTTTCCTCACCTTTTCCGTTTCCACATGACCATAAGCGTCAAAATCTAGGCTGTGTCGTTAGGTGTTAGTTATGAGCAGAGAACAGTAGGAATAAATGAAAGACAGAACTGTGACTCTAATGCTGATGCGTTTGTTTTAACACAGACGCATGATGGAGAATCCTCATGGCACCCACTGTGGTCGACAAGATTCCGTCTTATGTACACACCTTTAAGTGACATGACCTTCTAAGTGTGTCCAATGGAAGTGGAACGTGTAGGATCACTTCTTTTAAGGTTTGGTAATTTTATTGCTCAAAGGCATTCACTCCCTTGGATACTTCCTCTCGGCTTTAGATCGCTTACGTATCAAATTTCATCGGTATTCCGTCAAATACCGACCTCTCAATGCATGCGGCAGCAGCATATGCATGTTCGTCTCACTTATACTTTACAACTCTCGCTTTCGCGCATATTGTTCGTACCGATTATGATCCATTTGCACGATGAAATCACGTTACTTTTTATTCCTTGCACTTATCGATGAATTGATCTCACACTAGGTCAGACAGCCGTGATCAACTCGCCTCATCGTCATCGAAATTGGCTATTTACGAGGCACGCGTTCAGGAATTGGCACAGGAGCTGCATGCTATCAGGAGGGAAAATCTTCTTTTGCAACACTCCAGAGATGCGGCACGTACAGAATTGCGGCAGCTTCGGGCGTACATAAGCTCGGCAAAGTGGACAACCTCTGCAGCACTGGAGTCGGAGCAAATGAGTTCAAAGCCCGCTACAGCGGAAAACTCGAATCATGTTGAACTGGAGAAGCAAGTAACGGCCTTGTAGTTTCTTTTTCACCATTGCTTCATTTGCTTAATTTGTTCTCGTTTATTAGTGCGCTTTAGATAAGATAAATCTCTCGATTGAACGTCTCGTCGCCCAGTTACATAGGCTGCTCTACTAAGGCGATGTAATACAAATCTGTTCTCCCAATCATCTTGGGTTTGCAGTTACAAGCGTCTGTTTATGTGAACTTAGGGAAGATCCGGTTCTGCTTGATTCTTCTGGTTTACTGTGCTTCTGGCGTCGAAGTCTAATGAATCGATTTCTCATGACCATATTCCAAGTAATAATATAACTGATAATACTTATAATAGTGATGACAATAATGACGTCAGTGAATTATTGCATAAACGACCACTCCAATAAGCGTTCAATCCTGGTGAGAATGTTCAACGTGCATGCGCGTGAGACTCAGTGCGGAGACGCTCTGTAGAATAAAATTTCTAGCCATTGGTTTTACCGACCTTGTGAGCTCATACTATAAGACGACATAGATCAGTTGATTGAAGCCGTTTTGTCAGATTTTCGATCGGCCACCTGAAGGCCGCACTCAACCAGGTACACTGTCAGCAAACTATATGCACGGGGGAGTTGAGGCATTCGCCTTGCGTTCGTAGAAAATACCCTACCAAACATAGGTTACTCGAGTCATCTGATTAGCACTTCACTGTGACATCAGAGGACTTGTCACTAAATACCAATGTGCACACTTCGTATTGCTCGCTCAGTGGTTTTGTCAGACATAAACGCTACTACACAAAAACTAGCGAATGCGAGTGCTCAGTCTCATCTCACTATAGTACCATGGGCGTGGAGCTCAAATAGAGCCTCCAAGTTGACAAAATGGCTTGGTGTATCCCACGGAGCTCAGGAAAAGTGGAAACATCATGCACAAGCCACGCGCTTCTAGCAGGTCCACTACACTAGTTTCAGGAACTTCTACGCCAATGAGACAATCAAGTACAGTACAGGTACTCCAATTTACACTGGGACACTCCGACCAGGTCGTTGAACGAAGCACCTTTGGGAACAGTTCAATTAGTTCTTTGCCCCTGAACTTCGTCTTACTCAGATAGTGTAGGCTGCAACAAGCTTGTTATATTTTAGAGGCTTCATCCGAAGCTGAGATCCGAAACACGATCACAACTCCCCATTACTTCCGCGTTACCGTTCGGATTCTACTTAATCCGCGCTATTTAAGCATTGAGGTGAGGTCCTCTGCAGATCATCATCGAATCTGTTTACACATGTATGAAGGAGGATGCCATTGCAGCCATTGCCCTAATGTGTTGGGAGAATAGTACCAGTTTCATTAACTACGGGGCATCATCCTACCACCGTTATTGACAAACCTACTTGTGACAGCGATTGATACTCTTAGCGGCGGATCAACAGCACAGACAGGATTTCTTATGACGGAGGCCGACACACTAAGCAAGCAATCAGAGACGCAGTCTATGATGGAAGTCGATGCGTTTATTTGCCAGTCACCAGCACAGACCGTCTGTGAGACTAACAAGCAAACGGAGGATGCACCACTTCGTATGGCGGTAATACACTAGACAACCAATCAGAGGCAAGGACCGTCCACGAACAGAAGATCATTTTGGGAGGGTGAAGGAACATGTCAGACACTGAATCACTCAGCATCGCCGGAAGTCAGAATGAGAGCGCCGGTTTCAAGGCCACAAACCGCAAATTAGCTTCTGAACTGCATAGACTACTGGTACACGTACCCCGAAAGACCACTCGCTGACTCAGTCAACATCGACGTCACGAACTGGTCGCGGTTAGATGAACGACCCGGAATCGAGGAACGCTGAACAATGAATGCGAACGCATGGCCAACGCGGAAGCCAGTGAGACGCGACGCAGAAAACAGTAATATGTAGTATAAAATAAAGCATGGCTCAACGCTAATGATTTTCGTGTCGCTGCACTGTCTTCTTTCTGCTTGACGCTAGGCCGCTCCTTTTACTCTACTGACCCCAATTCTCGTCCATTGTCTTATTGCTTGACAGTAATCCCTGGTGATGGAACGTTCAACCGGTTTCCGTCCCAAACGATATTTTCACTCTACAGGAAGTCCTAGAGCAACAATCATAATTGTGTTCCTCGATTTCAAGATCGTGTTCTACTTAGCCGATCGCTCCTTTCTGTTCCACGTACGTGATAGGATTTGCGTTTTCATGATATTCACGAACTGTATGTGTACCATCTACTCGGACGTCACAGGTCTCATCTTAGTCTACGGCGAATTGTCAGATGCTTTTCCAACAACAAGTAGCATTCATCGTGTTTGTCCTATTCCTTACTTTTTAACTTTATCGTGAACTGCCTCATTGCGTACTCCCTTGCGATATCTCACGATGTAGGTAGTGAAATATTACATGGCAAACAACTGACTGGTTTGGCCCGTACTATCGCTATTGCCCTGCTGTTTGCCCATCCTAAAGAGGCCAATCAACATCTCTCTGAAATAGTCCCATCATTTGGTATGCGTTTCGTAACTACAAGATGCAGTGTTATTGCTGGACCGTCATCCACCTGATGATCCTTTTACTCTTGCTGGTGTGGAATTGAAAGTAGTTGACAAAATCACCTATCTTAGCTTGCACATTATAACAGCGGTGGTCGCTTCACGGACGGTGTGGCGCTAGCCAGTGGTTCGGTCTAGCAATAGTTTACCAATATTTGCGGTTTCTTTGGAGCATCGCATCGACTGGCAGACTCCCTCCACCGTTGCATGGATCTCGACAAGTGCTTTTGAGTAGATCTGTTTTTGACAGACCGGATTTACTACGCGTCTTTCCCCGGGGTGGATAAATGCTGTTAGTTTGTTACGGCGGTAAGCTCCGACCAGATGTTAGCTTAATTTGTCATAAGCTTTCCTTTGAGGTGAATCGCCAGTTTTGTTTAACACTTCTAAAGTTATTGGTAATTTTTAGTTGTTAACCGTTCACTTATGTCGTTTTTCGATTTTCTCGGTGATTTCTGTTCCAACTTTGTGGTCTTGTTTGATGGGGTTTCTTGTGTCCGTTCGGATGACATATGGATATTCTTTGGTTGCTTTGTACTTTGGTTAGTTGGAATTTTATCCGCTCCTATATTTGGTACGTAAATCCAGATGGCTTTAATGCCGTGTGCTTTACCCCGAATCTACTGGAACATTTCACGTTCCTCGTTGCTTTGTCCCATCCACGTCGACACGCTTATCCCCTAGCTCGAATCTTGCTTTCTAATGGCTGCAGACATTTTCTTTTGGCCAGCTTTACCTGTTTCCATATTCGACTCCATACGGTAAACTGTTTCGCCGCTTGTTGCTTCGCCTCTCGCCATCACCACCATTGATGTAATCGCAGTCGGTACAACAGCTGCCACGGGCCTTTTCATCGAATCTGTCCTTATTTCTGTATATTTGCTGCCTACTCGTGAGTAGTTGAGATTGACTAAACTCTTTTTGTCTACACCCGTCGGTCCACCGGTCCCGTCCAATCCGTGGCATTGGCTTTTTCCATTTCTCAATCCTCCTCTTTCATTGACTTCGGCAGGTTTTCATACAACTTCTCACAATTGGTTACGCTGCAAATTGTCGCACCTTGTATTCTCTTAATTTTTGCCTCTGTCTCGCTTCTGGGATTCACGCAACTCATTCCCGACGAAATCTTCGGTAAAGCACCGCACGATGTAAATCCGGACAAATTTCTCCGCATATTCTCAAGTGCGTACCACAGAACACGTGAAAATTATTAGCATCATGAATAGTTAAGAAAGTTGAAATAGCAAATTCACCAACATACGTAAACCCACATACACGCGCACACACGTCTTTGTCAATTCATCAGCTGTCTATTGGCTTACTACCAGGGTAGAGCCAGTGTGACGAACGCGTCCTTCTGCACACACAGACTAGGGTCAAGCTGTTTGATTGCGACCGCCTCAGCGTATCGCAGCACATGAGTGTTGTTTGATGCGTAGATCACACTGAACATGCGCGTGGGGTCAACACAGCGTTTGTCGGTCAGATGGCGGGCGATGTTGATGCAGGCGTCTTAAAATGTTGACCATTTGCGTTCCTTGGCTGCGAACGTTGGGTGCTGGACCGGGTTAAGTTCTAAATGTGATTCCTGACCCACGATGGGTTGTGCTGCGCGATTTTCTCACTCTACTGACGCTCCGTCATGCCCATTTAAATGGCCTTGCAATTACATGTCAATTTGTAAACGGTGCGTGAATGGCTGGACAGAGGTCGCTACGGTTTAACCGAAGGTGTGGGAATGTGCGTCGTTGTGTATACCAGTACGGATTGCGCCGCGGGATTCACTCTTGCAACCGCGCATTTCGAACGCCGTTGAAATAGTTGGCCTACAACATCTCCTTTAAACGGTAGCTTCAGTGTAAATTTAAACTTTGGCACGGTGGGTACATTATCTTTCTCCCTCTTCTTACTGAAGTATGCGACAAAAACATTTGGATACCCAAGGTATTAGTGAAGAATCGCACGTCTTCATCTCGCGTGTCGGGCATGCAGATTGTTCTCGCTCTATCAAACAGGGTCTGAACCAATCCCTGTTTGTAGCGTTTGGGTACAAAACTATAAATATTCAGTACTAGCCCTTCCACGTCGGCTTGCGGTACACCAATCTGCGTACCGATCCATCAGTTCTGCGTTGGATCAATACGTCAAAAAACAGCATGCTATCATTTTGCTCTCGCTCTATTGTCACTGATGTTTTGATGCAGGTCATTCAATCTGGTGTTCAGTTACGTTAGTTGTTCCTCTTGATCACAAATGATCAATATATCGTCCATATCTCGGCGAAATAGTACGGATTGGTGGATTTCGTCCCTGGCTTCATTTTCAAGGTGAGCAATATCTGCTAAGAGCGATCCGAGTGGACTGCCCATTGCAACACCATACACCTGCCGAAACCCTTTCTTTTGAATAGAACTTCACATTCGATGTACTTGGCAGCAGGAGCCGTTCT